AGCCTCGTTCACGTGAAACAAGCACGCTACGTTTACTCACTTTTCACTGAAATCTCTCAATATCAAACGCTTTCTATCAGTTCTGCTCTTCATCCTGAACCGATGCTCAAAGAATTTGGTCAGATCATGATGAGAACAGCGTTCACATCGCATGATTCCCTCCATCCGCATCGTCCAAATCAATATTCTAGCCACGGGTTGCAGCGCCAAAGACACCATCCGTTCACCCCATTGTCACACGCGTGTGCGAGATCAATGAGTACGATCTTTTCGGAAGCGATACGAGCCGTTAACTCGACGACACGTCAAAACGCGGCGTAGGAAAGCCAAACTCGAGGCTTATCGGTGACTCTCCAAGTGAACATTCGCAACCCCACTATCACACGGACGTTGGGCTCAGACATCTCTGTCGACATAATGCTCGCTATCACCCTACAAGAAGGAAGAGAGCAAGCGTTCGATCGCCTTCTTATGTGGCTTACAGAGAAGAAGTACAGACAAGTGGTAAAGAATGAGAGGAAAGACGTAAGTGGCACACGCCTCAGCACTACCCTACAAGGACAATCGCCTTCGGAACCAAGTCCCGACTGCCGCTCCGACATTTGCCTGTACTTCTGAACAGTTTTCCGCAAATTGGAGCCCGAACCCGAACCATACTCCAAGAACGCGTATGGGCCCGTCAGTCTAATCAAAAGGCCCTTGAAGATCGACTCCTGACTAAGACGGAATGGTATTTACCGGTCGCCCCACTACGGACTTGATGCGACAAAAAGCGCCCAAGTTTACTGTGAGGAAGACGAAGCATTTCCACCCGGGCCACTGGTCAAAATTTACCCAGTTCAAGCACAAGCGGACTCAGGTAAAGAACTTGTCTGTTTTTCCCAAAATTCCTTTGGGTTCTTTATATTAACTTACGCGCAAATACCCTTGAGAAAGGTATGGATCCACCTCTTCCTACCCGGCCACCATCATCAATTATGAGTTTAGTTATACTTGTATCATTAAATGATTATAATATCCAAAAAGTTCTTAGAATCAAAAATTACTACCTGGTTTTAAATAAGCGGCAACGGGTTGATATACCGTAAAAAACGTATCAATCAAAAGTAATGATAATCTACGTTAGATTTGTACACGTTGATATTTATCGAAAAAAAAAAGTGCCTATGCTATTTTTTAAACTCTCAGTCATTATTCTTTTTATCGTAATTGGATCGGTGAATGAATAATTTGAAGAAAGCGCCCAACTCCTCGATTTTGTATTCGTCAGTGTTTTAGATGCAAGTCGAAATTGAACATATCATCCGGCGATACTTTTTCTCAATATTCTCCGGGCAGACATGTTCGCTAAGTGAGAAAATTTTGTTTCAAAGGAAAGTATATTTCTAAATATAACCTATTACTACGGAAATGACGTCATTAAGCTTGTGATATAAACTAGAAATGACTAGATGTCATTGAAATATTTTATCAGCAAATTTTGATAAAATATTTTAAAAACGTTCGTTTTGTAATCACAGTGGTGACCCCAATTGCAAGGCGTGGGTCTGTTACGTCAATAGAGGAACTTTTTATGGACAGTGAAAGCGACAAAGAAGAATTTCTCGGATTTACTCATGCAGATATTGGTGATGTGTGTGATAGTGAGATTGAAAGGGATTCCGACCAAAAGGAAGGATTTTCACAAGCATATGATCACCCGTAGCTACCAGAGTTTTCCTATGCTCCTGAACCAACAAATCTTGATCAAAATGCTAGTGACGTAAACGTTTTTCGTCTTTTTTTATCTGACTAAGTTATTCAACTAAAAGTTTGTTGGTCATGTCCTGGATCTCATATCATGTAGTAACTGTGAGCTTCAGTACGTGAATGAGAAAATTTTTGAAAGAACAAGAGCATAAAGAATGGAGGTCAGCTCCGACATATCCAAAGTAATGGTGAATAGCACAAACAGTGACACCTGTGTCAACATTACCATGAATGGCAATTCACTGGAGAAAGTGTCCAGTTTTAAATACTTGGGAGAAATCTTGTCTAAAGGTGGTACCTGCCAATTGGAAATCCACACACGGATTGCTGCAGCCAAAGCAGCGATGGCCAAATTGGCAAAAATGTGGAAGAGCAAAATCAGCTTTTAAATGTACAGACTGTACAAATCACTGGTAGTCTCTATTCACCTATATGAATGTGAAACATGGATGCTTTTGGCAGAAACAGAGAGAAAGATCCAAACATTTGAAGACAAATGCATGAGAAAACTCCTTGGCATCTTCTTTTGGAAAAATAAAACCAATGAGTTTGTGCAGAAAAGGGTTGAATGTTTTGTAGTCCACCAGGAATCTCTTCTCGCCACTGTCAAATGGTGGTTTGGACACGTTACAAGGCACAACAGCTTGTGCAAGACCATCATGCAAGGCATCATTGAAGGTGGATGTAGGAGAAGACACCAACGCAAAAACTGCTTGGACAATATCAAACAATGGACAGGTATGACTGTACCAGAACTGTTGATGGCTGCCGTTAATAGACCGTTGTGGAAAAGAGTTAGTGTGGCTTCTGCCTTCGGATCCGCGCTACGATTACAAAAGTCAAGGGGATGATGATGATGATGATGATGATGATGATGATGATGATGATGATTCAAGTAATGGTAGTAGAAACGATATGAAAACAAAATTAGGTGACACATCAAAGTCCACGTCAAAAATAAGAGCTTGGAAAAATGTTTTCTTTGAAGAAATGAAAGCCTTTTTGGCTTTTCTTTTGTTAATAGGTTTGTTGAAGCGAGCTTCGTATTCTTCTTACTGGACAACAGACTCAATGCGTATGAATCGTATTTTTTTAAATTTCCATTTTTTTTCTCAAAATGGCTTATATTGACAATAAAAAATATATCTACATTTTTCTACATCTTTTCATGCAAATACCCTGAAAACTTTATAACAAAGTCTCAAAAACACTAGAAGTTACAGCGCTAATAATATAGTCAACATTCAAAAACTTAGCACATTCAAAAATTAGGTACCTCAACTGAATTTTCGATACCTAAGTTTTAAAATTAAATTTTAAAAATTAAGAAGCATTCTTGAAGATTCATTCTAGTTTTAATTGAAAGCTACATGATTGAATTTATTTCCAGTAAGTAAAATATTCTGGTGTATTTCAAATTATATAGATCGGAATGTCAAATAATTGCTCGATTTTTTTTTTAAATTTTAAAAGCGGACATTTTCTTAATTTTAAGAAATTTGTAAACAAACAAATTTATCGGTTTTAAAATTCTTTCAAAATTAAATAGATTTGTGACGCGTTATTTGAGTAAAATTAGAAAATTTAAAGTTAAATTAATCTGATTTGAAATAAATATTACTTATAGGATAAAAAACAAAAATATAAGCATTTCTTACCGATGGGTCCCCTCTTTCTTTGATCATTATTGATTTATTGAGAAGCTCGCAAGATGATGACTGCTTCTATGGATGACCAGAAATGACATATTTACGAAAACTAAATGAACGCATTTTTTTTTTTTTTTTTAGTTTTTAACTACCTAGTAATTTATACAAAAATATATTTTTTCAGCAATTATTTAATATTTTATTGACTTTTAGTAAGGTTTTTAAGAAGCTTTATGAAATTTACATTTCGTTTCTAGGTTTTTTAAGTTTACTACCTTAAACAAAAAAAAATAATTAATTGAAGTATGACTCAAACTAAAATAAATACATAAAATAAAAATATTTATTGAAGTAGGAATTAAGAAAAGTAAAACTTTTTTTGATATTTTGAAGGGATAATTTGCGAAGACGTTAATAATGAAACAGAACTGAATTAAAAGTGAAATAATTGCAGTATGTCAGACGACACTTAAATCACGTGATTATATCATGTATAGATACCCATATGTAGAAATTAGGAACGTTTTTTTCACTAAAAATTATTTTTAAAATTACTTTAAAAATATTCGGATAAAACGACTGTTATGAGCTTTTCAAATTTTGATTTAAAAATTTACTTTACACTTAACGATATCACCAAATTACATTCTTGAAAGCAAAAGAATTTTAATCAATTTTTGAACTATTATATCATTATAATTAAAATTTTTAAAAAATGAAAAAATTCTTGTAAAAATTCATTATTCATCGAAATTTTTTTTTATTTCTTCAGATAATAGTGTCCTTAATATAACTTATTTAAAAAGCAATTAAAAGATTTTCTAATTAAATAATGTCTTAGTTTTATTGCATTTTTATTTTTACAATTCAGAGCAGATTTTCGATGAAACGGATAACTGTTTTACAAAAATATTGATGATTTACTTTCTCCAAAGAGTCCTGTTTTTAACTAATGAAAAAAATCCCCCTTCAAAAATTTAATTTCCCAAAATTTCATGAAATTATGTAAGTGGGTGGTAACATATGTAAAAAAAATATTTTTTATCAAAATTTTCTAAAAAGAAAAATTTCAAAAAATAATTTAATTCATTTCTGAATATGTCCTAAAAGTTTCATTAAAATCCAACAATTATTTGAATTTTGCAGGAATTTCTAAATCAATATAATTTTCACCGGAAAAACTAGCCTTTGTCTTTGTTCCGTCGCTGACGTAAAAAAAAAAAAAAAGAAAAAGATTTTGTTACAAAGGAGTAAAAAATTTTAAAAAATAATGAAAAATACGTTGGTCTTTTTTCTTAATAATAACATAAGCATTTTGATGACAAAACTTTGTTTTTATTGAGTTTGGGGCCTTTTTCGTCATGCTATGCTGTTTTTTACGCGACCAAGTGGAGGTACCTACTCATAATTAATATGGATCCAGGGGACACAACTCCAAAAGTTAGTGCGAAATTGTAAAGCTTAAGTATACTAAATCAAGCCAGGGTGGATATATTCGCCAGAGTGTGGGTAACAGATAAAGTTTGCGTAATTTTTTTTCAAATATCAGCAATCACTGATGATATCGCTACAATGAAAAAAAAGTATATACAGGATTGGTCATCATAAATAAAAAAAAAAATGTAAGAAAAATGTTGATAATAGGTGGTGGTGTTGAAAGGGAATTATGGTTGGGTCGAGGTTGGGTAGCGCATGTCCGAAAGACCAGGCAGTCGGCTGCTCGACTGAAAGCCGGTAGATAGATTGCTCAAACGACGCGTTTGTTGAAAGATGGTCAGTCTTCGTGACGAGCGAGATCTCAGATGTGTGGTGATGATACGGCCAAGAATGGGCGAGAGGTGGCGACGTGTACAGATGAGAAAGAAAGAAAGAAAAAACATTAAGAAAAATGGGTTGGGTTAGATAAAAGAAACTACCCAAAAACTTTGGAATAAGAATATTGATATGTATATCTAGAAATGGATGAAAGACAGCAGACTGAAGACATTTGCTGCTATTATTATCGTTTTTGTTGTTGTAAATTTTTAGGCTCTACTTTTAACATCGTTGATACTTCTTCTTCTATGTGCCGTATTCTTTCAAGACGTTGGTGATCATGCTACTCTATATTTCCTCTCCCATGTAGATCTTAATAAATTTTGGCTTATTTTTATCTCTCCTAAACCCACCATCCATTTGTACAAGCTCTGCTAGGGAGGTTACGCGTTGTTTCCTTCTGTCCTTCTTGCCTTCAATCTGTCACATACACACACACACACACACACATACAAAAACACACACACAAATATATATATATTTTCCAGTCGTAAAACATTTCAACCTACCATATCAAAGCGCAGATGACATCGGACGCGTGCTTTTGACATCTTCGTTCAACAGCCGAGAAGAAAGACGTAGATCGGAGTTGAAATTTATTTTCAAAATAAATTCAAACATTGAAAGATTAAACAAGGATTTGGGTTTACTCAGAGAGTATATTATCCACAGGGAGAAATCCAACTAACAATATTCCTCGAAGGAGTAGGTCCCACAACTTTGTTTGTTTCTCGCACTGTTGAAAAAAACGCAGGCGTGTTTGAAAATTTTGACTTCATAATTTATCTCTTCCTGCCCGTTTCACCCAAATGTAATAAAAATGTTTTTGGCAATATTGATTAACATTTTAGATTTTTATCCTTCCAATTTCATTAAACGACCTATTTAATCTCTCTCTCATTATCTCATTCTCTCTCTCTCTCTCTCTCTCTATATATATATATATATATATATATATATATGTGTGTGTGTGTGTGTGTGTGTGTGTGTGTGTGGCTGGTCACTCGTATTCGAGGATACCCGTCTACTAGGGTGACTAGCCAATCCCTATTGCAGACGCTTGCTCAGGCGCATTTATGTTTATTCAACACCCACAGACACCACCTGTAGTTTATACTGAAACTATGCTGAGCAGACCTTAGTTACAGTTTCAGCAAAAGAGCGTGTTATCTAACGTGATCAACAATTTGAACAAGGCCTACTCGAAAGGTTTGGGTTAACCCGTGGTTTGGTTTTCAGGCACTTTCCAAATGTGCCGCACGCTGGGATCGACCCCTTCAGTGCGATAACATCAGGAAGTTTCCTTCCTGACATATATATATATATATATATATATATATATATATATATATATTACAGCAAAAGACCAAAAATTACCTCAACATGGTGATAGCCTATTTCAATCCAGTCTGTACGCAGCTATCCTCAGCCTCTAAGTGTCTGTCTCGGAGCATTGTTTTAAACTTATTTTCAATGTCAGTCCTCTTCTAGTAGACGCCTTGGTAATGAGAATGAGCTTGTGTTAGCGACTGGTGGAGAGCTTACCTTTTGTAGTTCATTTTAGAAGTGATCGGAAGTTCAACACGCGGAAAAATAAATAAAACTAAAAGTGATACAAAGTGACTTACGAGGACATATTGACCAGAGTGTGCTGAAAAATTCTCGACTTCCCAAAATCTGACTAAATGAGCAAACTCTAACCCGATCAATTCTAGGATTAATCGTTATCTGTCTTCCATATCGTCATAATCTTCAGTTCCTTCTTCCTCTTCTTACGTTCATATCACTCACCTCATTCAGTAACACTCTACCTTGAGTGGGTGTGGAGCATTATATTGGATATGCATTAGTAAAAACATTTACTGGCCGATGGGTTTTGTGAGGCCTAAACGATCTTTCTTAATATTACTTACATATACACATACGTCGAACCTATACTGGCAACAACCAGCATGCATACGCATAGGGAATGAGTTCAGTGAATATACGAAACTAGAAGCGGGCGTAAGGCAAGTATGCGTCTTCTCACCCGACCTGTTCAACCTAAACAGCAAGGCAGTTCTGGTAGAATTGGAAACCCTACCAGGACTTAGCCTTGGCGACCACAACCTTAAGAACATAAGATAGGCAGGCAACACAGGACTGATAGCAGACACGGAAGAGAAATTATAAAATCTCCTACAGAAGTTAGCGACGGAGAGTGAAAAGAAAGGACTAAGCATAAAATGCAAGAAGACAAAGAGCATGGTCATCAGTAAGAGGATGAGTTCGAAATGCGATTTGCAGGTCGGAAACACGAGAATCGAGCAGACGCGGAAGTTTAAATATCTGGGAAGCGACACTGAGATCCGTAGACGTATTGGGATGGCCAAGGACACATTCCAAAAGCTGGGCAGAGTATTGCCAGACAGGAGGATTTCTTTGGTAACAAATAAAAGAATACTGAGCTGCTACGTGACATCTGTCCTTCTTTACGGCAGCGAATGTTGGGCAATTTCCTCAAAAATATCGAGGGAACGGAGATGTGGTTCTACAGAAGGATGCTAAGGATATCATAGACCGAGCGTGTGAGCAACGATAAGGTCTTAGGGAAGTTTCAAACAAGAAGTTTTATACTTAACGTCAGAGGCAGCTGAAGTTTCTGGGATACATAATGAGGAAGGATGGCCTGGAGAATCTAATACTCATGGAGCGAATTTAGGTAGAGAGAGACAAGGGAAAGCAACACGTGACATACCTGGCGGGCTTAAGCAGGTGGATGACAGAAGGTGGTCTGGGGGAGGAAGCAGAGGGAAGGAACTTGTTGAGAGCTGCAAGGGATAGAGGGAAGGTGGAGAGCCATGATCGCCCACGTCCTGAAAGGACATGGTAAATAAAAAGAAAGAAAGATACATATGCGTATATAAGTAATAAGTAATGGATGGCCGCTCGTATCCCACTATGTCTGTCTGCTAGGGCAACTAGCCGATCCCTATAGCTCAGGAACATTTGTGTTTTTTCAAAACCCACAGAGCCCACAAATATTCTGAGCTGACCTTAGTTACAATTTCTGGGAGAGAATGCATTATCTGACGTGATCAAAACTCGAAACAAGGCCAATACGCTCAAATCCTCGCTCGCTAATTAAAAAAGAGCACAATTTTTTAAGGAGAAAATACATTGAAAACTTAATAGCATTATTACTATCTATAAACACAAGCATTACATAACATCGCCATCTTTCTTTGAATCCATTCTTAAAGAATCTAACTTATATGTATCTAATACAAAGAATACATGCTTAAAGAGATCAGTGATAAATTAGAATCATGTAACACCCCGCTGCGCTGGATGACATAAGAACTCCCACTAGACAGACACACATACACAATTACGAATACACATTACCATCCGATGCCCACTTATACATACAAGAATCTTCGCAAACGTACATACACCTAGAATTATCTACAGCTTTAACGCCCGTGACACGTGTCTGACCAATGAGAATGGACCAAAACAAAAAGAGAGAGAGAGAGAGAGAGAGATGTCCTGAAGACTGCGCTCATGCATGAAACAGACTGTCGTCACTTAATATTGACATCACCTTTATATTCATATACGCTCTATCCCTGATATTGAGGACTTTTACCCATACTACCATAAAACTATATTTTTAAGTGGTGTAAAAAACGTTATCCATAGTCTCTATCGTCCCAAGCGCTTTCGACCACTTCATTAGTCATTCCCAAGGGGTTTATTTATTTTCTTTCTTTTTTTTTAGTATCTCTTTTCATGATTTTCTGAATAAGATATAGTCTTGTGATGCCTATATGGCGTGTGAAATAGAAAGACGCCAACGCGAATTCCGACCACATTCCTTTCGCGAGGCACACAATAAAAGCTACTACTATATAGGTATCGCAAAACTACATGTGAAACAGATCAACATGGGAAAAAAATTAACGATAACAATAATGCGTTAATTTCATTATTATTATTATTATAGAATATATGATAAAACCTTTCAGGAAGAGAAGGCCCATATGACCCGAATTGAGTTAATAAATTAATTTTGAAAAAGACACACAACATTCAAGGCGTTTCTTCAAAGTCCAAAGGGCGGTTCCAAATATTTGGCCTGTAGTACATGAGTGCAATAAATGTCAGTCACGTGGGAAACGAAATCACGTATTCAAATGACATCTGCTGAAAAACGCTACGAACATTCGTCGAACCCAATATTTTTGTGTCAAGGATTGAGTTTGTCTCCTCCTGCTTCTGTGTAAGCATAAATGTGTGGCCTATACATTAATATGTCATTTTGTGCCAATGAATGCTTTGCATGTGTTCGTAGACGCGGAAAAGCTGAAGGTCGAGTTTCCCAGATAGACATCCTATGATGAATACGCCAAGATATCATTGTAATCTAATAGGGCAATTGTAACAAGTAATCGCATTGGTCTACATCAGCGCAAGTGTTGATGTTTCTATTACGCATGCGCGTCAAGGAGATGCCTTTGATTATGAATATTTTTAAAATGTGGAAGAGAAGGGAAGAATAAAAAAAGAGGAAGGAAAAATAAAGGAAAAGAAAGAAAAGGGAGGAAATCATAAAGGTTGAATAGATCGGGAAATGGTGAAAGAAAGAAAGAAAGAAAGAAAGAAAGAAAGAAAGAAAGAAAGAAAGAAAGAGAAATATTAAAGTTGTAAAAGAAGTGAGCAGATTAGAGAAATCTATGTACTGAAAACTGCGAAAGAAAAAACAAAGAAAGAAAGAAAGAAAAGAGAGAGAGAAAGAAAAAATGACTGGAATAATATAAGAATGAGATGATAAAAAACGAAAAAGAGCTAAGAAAGGAAAGAAAGAAAATTATTATAGTAACAAAAGGAAGAAAGAAAAGAGAAAGAAAAAGAAAAGAGAAAGAAAAAGAAAAAAATGACTGAAATAATAGAAGAAAGAACACGGAAAGAAAGAATTGACGGAGAAAAAGAACGAGAAATATTAAAGTTGCAGAAGAAGTAAGTTAGCAGATTAAAGAAAGAAAGAAAGAAAGAAAGAAAGAAAGAAAGAAAGAAAGAAAGAAAACGAAAAAGAAAACGAAAGAAAGAAAGAAAGAAAAGAAAGAAAGAAAGAAAGAAAGAAAGAAAAACGAAAGAAAGAAAGAAAGAAAGAAAGAAAAAAAAACGAAAGAAAAAAAAAAAAAAAAAAAGAAAAAGAAAAAACGAAAGAAAAAAAATGAAAAAAGAAAGAAAACGAAAGAAAGAAAAAACGAAAGAAAGAAAGAAAGAAAGAAAAGAAAACGAAAGAGAGAAAGAAAGAAAGATGGAAAGAAAGAAAAAACGAAAGAAAGAAAGAAAGAAAGAAAGAAAGAAAGAAAGAAAGAAAGAAAACGAAAGAAAGAAAGAAAACGAAAGAGAGAAAGAAAGAAAGATGGAAAGAAAGAAAAAACGAAAGAAAGAAAGAATAGAAAAACGAAAGAGAACTAGTAAAGAAAGAATTGTGGGAGAAAGTGAAAAATAAAAAGAGAATTGAAACATAAGAAAAATAAAATAAAACATTAAAGGTAAAATTTTCTTTTATACATGCGTGTGTGTGTGTGTGTGCGTGTGTGTGTGTATGTGTGTGTGCGTGTGTGTGTGTGTGTATGTGTGAGCGTGTGTGCGTGTGCGTGTGTGTGTGTGCGTGTGTGCGTGTGTGTGTGTATGTGTGAGCGTGTGTGCGTGTATGTGTGAGCGTGTATGCGAGCACGTGCGTGTGCGTGCATATGTAGGACTTAATGTCATAACGCAAATATATACTGTGCCTGCTTTATTAGCAGGTTACATGTTGATCTTCTTCTATGTGCCGTGTCCCTTCAGGACGTAGGTGATCACGGCTCTCCACAATTTCTTTCTTGTTACCAAAGTGAAATACAACAATCAACAAGAAAAAGTCGGAGCTAAGGATAAATCTTGCACGACCTTGTGTAGGTCGACATTCTTTACAGATACTCCCCGACTTACGACCATACAAGTTTTAAACGATCCGAGAGGACGAAATATAAAAAAAAAAAACATGTCTTTAAATCTGAATTTCATGGTAAATATTCTGATGAGAAACGACCTCAACTTGACGAAATGAAACCACAAACAAGCTGACCTCTTCCGATCTAACATCAACTTCCCAGTTGGGGAAAAAAAAACTGTCTGGTTAGATGCTATCCTTTGAAAACCAAACTAATTGCATTCTATCACCGCCGATCAGACCCCGAACTACCGCTAGTCACGATGAATTTATGTCCTCTCGAAGAGGCTCCGTGCTTAATATTAATATTAAGTGACGAGAGACTATTGGGCCTCACACTAACATCTGACCTCAAGTGGAACACTTGTATACGATTCATTGCTAAAGATGCAGGGAAAATGGTTGGCTCCCTGTACCGCTCCAGTAAGTACCTGACCTCTCATGCTATCCTCTACCTTTATAAGAGCCAGATCAGACCGAAAATGAGGGAATGTCGCCATATTTGAGCGGGAGCTGCCCAATCCTCACTTTGTAGTTTAAAAGCGTCTCCGAGTCCTTGTTGGAGAAGAATTATTTTCCACCCTACAACCTCTCTCTCTTTCTCTCTCTCTCTTTCTCTCTCTCTCTCGCTCCCTCACACACACACGCGCGCGCACACACACACACACACACACACATACACATACGCACACACACACACACACACACACACACACAAAGGCGGATGTGACGAGCCTGTCGTTGCTCTTTGGTTACTACCATGGAAATTGCTCAGATGAACGACATTCCTTGGTTCCACCAGGTCTAAACTTCACGGCTAGGATCCGCCATGCATTGTAACAAACCAACTACCTACCTTCCGTGTTCTCTCAATAAGAAGTAAGTTCCACTCGAACGCCTTCTTCCTGTGAACCACTCCCCTGTGGGACACACTCCCAAGAGGATGTTTCCCCGATCACTACAGTCTTAACCAGTTCAATTCTAGAGGTAACCGTTATCGTACCTTCCTATTCTAAACTACTCCTTAACGTAGCCCTCTTCCCCGGGTTTTGTACTTGATGAACCTTACTGCCAAAAAACAAAACAAAAAACAGAGAAATAACAGCTACAAATAACCACGTAAAACATATTCACAGTGACAAGAGCCAAAAATAACCACGTATAGCATAGTAACGCCACGGAGAGATGTCAATTGCATTATGTGTGCAGGTTGATGATACAGCTACAGCAATGGCGCGGCGGTTCACCTCCGAACTTGTGTGTTGTTCTTTTTTTCTTTTCTTTTTTTTTGTTTCATTTAATCATATCACTGATTTGCTGAACGTAAAAGAATATGAGAAAAAAGATAAATATTAAGGATGAGGAACAAAAAAAGACAGAAGATAACGATTGACATTGCATTTAAATTTTTCAAGATCAAAGCTGGAAAGTATGAAGCTGGAAGAGAGTTCCACAAGCGAGAAGTGCGAGAGAAGAAACTGTTAGAATAGAAAAGTATTTCGATAAAATTGGAAACACTAAAATCGATACTGAGAGAATGAAAAAATGCTACCAGGATTCATTATTGGCGGCCACAATCTTTACAATATAATATATACAGATGGCACAGTGCTGATAGCAGACACGGAAAGCTCCTATATAAAGCATCGAAGGAAAGGGAGAAGAAAGGACTAAGTATAAACTAGAAAAAGACAGAATAAAACAAAATAAAACAGAAAAAAGGAAAACAGTGTTAACATAGAAAGTAAACAAAAGAAAGCGAGAAGAAAGGACTAACGTTCACTGAATGTGAAAGAATATGAGAAAAAAGATAAATATTATTAGGTTGGTGCAAAAATAATGACGTAATAATGTCGTTTTTTGACGTATTTTTTAACGTCAAAAAACGACATTCTTACGTCATTATTTTTGCACCAATCAAATATTAAGCAGGGAAAAGAAAAAAGGAATAGGAATTAACAAGACAGAAAATAACGATTGACATTGCATTTGAATTTTTCAAGATCAAAGTTGGCTGTAAAGTATGAAGCGAGAAGAGAGTTCCACAAGCGAGAAGTGCCAGATAAGAAACTGTTAGCATAGAACTTACGGTTGCATCGAGCCATTTCAACTGTAAAATGAACTTGTTGACAAACTAGTCATAAATTCATAAAGGCTAAGTACCATAAATATACAACAGGTGAACCGTACCAGAATTCGCAACAATTTCCATAACATGGACAAATGGTAGACTTATAAATATGTAAGAATCTGAGAGTGCGAGAGAAGTAACTGTTAGCATTGAAATTACGGTTACATCTAGCAATTTCAACTGTAAAATTATGAGACCTATCTGCCAATACAGTACCGCGCTTAAATTCGCTCTCGCTCTCTGGATATACTATAGTAAAAATACCCATGAAATGATTTTCCTGTTAAAATTTCTGATGAATCTTAATTCTTAATTTAGTGATTAAATAAACTCATGGCGATTTCTACGACAATAGAATATCCGTAGAAATTACCCTATCGCATCGTTAATTTTATTTTTTTTTTAATTTATCAATTTTAACAAAATATTGCAATAACAATCACATATTTATATGCTGGTCATTATTTTAAGAAGGGTTAGAAATGAAATGATTTGAAATTGACAACTTTTCTTTCATTTCACTGAAACAGGCGTTGAACACTTGTATCTTCCTTTCTTTTTCTTTTTTTTATTTCTTTCGTTTTCTTACTAAAACAAAGTAGCTTCTCTAATATGTCTTTTCCATCTTTCCACGCGATCGAAACTGAATAGCCAATTAATGACGTAATGTCAGGAGACTTTAAAGACTTTTATCGTTCTTTTTTCTTTCTTACTTTCCTCCATTCATTTTCTCACCGAAACCAAATAACATCACTGACATGTCTTGCCACACGATCAGAACAAACTTAGAAAAGACACAAAAGACACAAATTCTGATCTAGAAACCAGCTAAAATTTAAAAATATATATAATTACTGAAAAGAGATGATGAAAAGTTCTTTGCCTAGCCAACAAGAAATTCAAAAAACAGTTTTTTTTAATGTTTGGTTACATTTGATTAAATTTGGTGATTTTTAGCACTGTGTCATACTTTTTCAACTTAAAGGGACATAACTCTCTAACTTTCAATAGCTCATTTCAAATAAAAAGAAATACTGTTCTCAAGTTATAGTGTTTCAAAATAAAATTGACCGTGTTTTCAACTTTACACCTAGAGTCTGTAACCCAACATATTACATAATTTTGGAATCAAGCCAACTCCATTAGCCAATTAAAAGCATTCCGGGTCGGATTTAGAAACGGCAGGTTGTACTACTTGCCATCCGCGCCAGAAGATCCGATGCGAACATTTCAGGGTGTTTGGGTGTCATTCTGAGGACAGTGTAGAGGATTCGGAAAGAGTTGCATGATATATTCAATCAACATCATGATGTTTGGAGTCATCAGTAGTGATGGCGACGTTATGCCTCCATTCATTTTCCCACAGGACCTTGAACTCAACACAGAGGCCTAGTTACAGAATGCAGAGTCCAGGGACAGAATGGTCAGCGATTGGTCGGAGTGCCTAGTGGGCGGTATATTCTAACAGTGATGTATTGTCTTTGGGTTTTGAATATAAGTCCAAAACTGCGCGAATTCAACAGAGGGTCTCAAGAATTCTGAAGCGTCGATATGCCTCCTACACCCAGGTTTGCTACCGGCTAATACCACTCATAGGGGGACGCTGAGCCTATGTGCGTCATGCGTTCCCGTGACGTCATTTCTACTGCTGCCTCTTAGAACCCAAGCTGCCAATCTTAATAAAACGAAATTTAAAAATAAATTACCCTTTTCGTTGATACCATTTTTTGTAGTAGCGTAGGAAAGACATAGAACTCAACAGCCTACATCCCTGGATCAAAAGGGTGGCTGCTAGAAGACCCTGTGTCTGGCAACGGGACTCTGTGCCATGCCACACGAGCAGGAAAGCCCAGTCTGTGAGACAATTTCTGCGACTACATCACCTCTTAAAGCTGGTCACTTAATTCCCCAGACTGCAGTCCTCAATGACACATGGCCCAGTGGATAAAAGCATTAGTTGAAGTAATCCAGTGACTTGAAAGAGTTGTGAGTTCGATACCTGGCTATGGCAGAGGCAAAAATATTTGAAGAGTTGAATTAAAGGAAAATAACTGATACTGAGATATCAGAAAGAGGCATGACACGTGGAACTAGACCAATCTACCCCGGTGGACGAAATAAAGGGTTTGATTCGAAATTCCAATCTCCTGAATAAGGCCGGAGCGTACAACGGCGGAAATGTCGTGAATATGCCAACAAAGATGAGGACAACACTCCGAAGAATATACATATAGTAGCTGGCCACTCGTATTCGAGGATACCCGTCTATTAGGGTGGCTAGCCAGTCCCTATTGCAGACGCTCGCTCAAGCACATTTGTGTTTGTTCAACACACACAGAGCCAACCTGTGGTTTATGCTGCAACTATGCTGAACAGACCCGTTACAGTTTCTGAGAGAGAGGGAGCGTTTTATCTAGAAAGATCAACAATCTGAACAACACCAGCACACACAAACCCTCAGTCACGATGACTTGTGACTTCGTTCTAGCACAGCTATCGACGGCACCCAAGGGTTCCATCTACCCAATTTCACTCACAAGGCTTGGGTCAAAGATGCCGCACGCTGAAATCGCCCTAGCCAGACCAATAACATCAGGAAGTCTACTTCCTGACAAATCAACCGTCGTCAGATTCATGGCTAGAAAGCGAACGTTCTAACCAGAACATATATATACATATATCCTATTCAAATATCATATTATATCATATTCAAATACTTCTAATTTCTATCACACACACACACACACACACACAGACACACACATATATATATATATATATATATATATATATATATATATATATATATATATATATATACACATACAAACAAATGTTTCTATTTGGGCCTCTATTATATTTTCATATTTTTTGTTTGTATCTAGATAAAAGTTATGGATAAACTATCCATGTCCATGTTTC